TTTCCATCTGAACATGAGGAAGAACTTCTTCCCTCTGAGGGTGATGGAGCACTGGAACAGGCTGCCCAGGGAGGTTGTGGAGTCTCCTTCTCTGGAGGTATTCAAGACCCGCCTGGACAAGGTGCTGTGCAGCCTGCTCTAGGTGACCCTGCTTCGGCAGGGGGGTTGGACTAGATGACCCACAGAGGTCCCTTCCAATCCCGAACATTCTGTGATTCTGTGTTCTCATGCTGGAGGTAGAACCTGGAAGTGAATCTGCTGCTGCCAGGCTTGCACAGACCACTATCCGCTCTGTGTCACCAGAAACAAGGCAGCTGCAGTAAGATCCTCAAATGCAAACCCACATATTCTTCCAGCACTTGGTCTTACACACATCAGCAAGTGCGGTGTGTTGGGAAGGGTGGTATCTTACTCGTCCAGCTAACCCATGCTCCTCATAAACCTCACCTTATGGAGCCTTTGCACATATTTTTAGGACAAACTGTAGCTCTTCTGTGGTATCTACTCTGTCCAAAGTGGTACCAAGACCAGAGGTGGTTCCAGAGGCTCTCATCTTCACAGACCGTTCCTCGAGGGCTCCATCTTACCCCTCTGTCATGCAGACTCTGGGCTCCCGCAGTTCATCCCTGCTGCTGCCCTGCATAATTTTGGCCGGTCCTTCCGTGCCTCGCGTCACTCCCGGCCTTGTACTGTGTCTCCTTCTGCAAAGTCCATCTCACAAGTCTTCGCTCATCCGGCAGTCATGTGTTGGCAGAATGCGTGGCTCTAGCTAAATCAAAAAGCATTGCAAAAATTAAGTCTGTTTTGCTGGAAGCTTTGATATTAAAGTAAACCAGAGGCTTCTGGATAAAGTCAAAACCTCGGACTGTTTCTGGTAGTTTTCCTTCTGGGAAGTGGGCTACGTTCCTTAGTATTGATTCCACTGGTGTGCGAAACAGTTCCACTTCCGCTCTGCAGCCAAACTTTGAAAATCTGTTCTGAAATAGAGAATCACCTTTCCCAACCACTTGGAAGGAACTGGGGGGGAAAAAAACCCCCCCCGCCGCCCAGCTGTGCAGTAAGGCACCAGCGATTGTATTCCTGAAATACTAAAGTTAGAATTGTTGCATGTTTAAATTGTAAGACTTCAGTGAAATTAAGGCAGCAGTCAGCGTTGGAAAAAGCATTAGAACTAGCTGAGGTTTCACTTGGAAACTACTTACATAAATGGCTTAAGTTCAAAAAAAGCTATAGAAGCGTAATGATAAAATATTGCCTGGGCCCCCGTCAATAAACCAAGCCAAATCAATTACTTTTCTGTCGATAAGTCATGAGCCATTTATACAGGACAGAATGAACGACGATTTCTGTGAGAACAGAGGCACTTACAATAAAGCGTTACCACATCAACAGCGTTGGCGTAGGCAGCATCCCATTTCTGGAGCTAGGCCGCAGGTGCCTTCCCTCACAGCGAGTCCCCATGACCAAGACTAGCGATTGTACCGAGGCGACTGTGTGTTTGCCGGCTGCAGAAAGACAGTTTATAGCCCCACAAGTAAACAGTTTATACGGCATATTTCTAAATTAAAGCAACTAAATATCAGAGTGCTGCTCTCAGAGCAGAAATGGCTCAGCAATTGCCACGGGAAAGCGAACGTGCTGGGTAGCACAGCCCGGGACCCACCGGCTGCAGGGCGGACCCTGAGCAAACCTCCCTGCAGGGAGGGTAAAGCTGAAGCTGAAGAGGTAGCGGCTCTAAGCTAATTGCCCAGATATCAGCTCGTCATACGGAAAACGAGGACACTACAGGTCGCTTTCTTCTGCTGCCCCTTGCTCTTCCAGCAGCGCCCGTGGCTTTAGGGGCTGGTTGGGGCTGCTTCTTCAGCAGCTGCCAGCTGCAGGAGTAGTCCCTGCGTGACGGCCCCCGGTCAACGCTGCCACCACGGAGCACAGAGGAGCACGGAGGAGGGCTGTGCTCCCCGTGAGACAGGGCTGCCCACCGCACGCCTGATGAAACACTGCCACTTGCCTGCATGCTCCCCTCACTGAGCCCAAGGCGTCACAAAACTAGACTGGAAAATCCCTCCCAAAATGTTCCTGATACAGAGGAGGTCCCGGGGCTGCCAGCAAGGGAGCTTAAGCAGCACCTCAGGCGCATGTGATCAACCCCATGCTGTTGCCCTGTGAGAAGCCAAGGGGACCACACGCCCCCAGAGCCACACCAGCACTGACTCGCCCCCTGCCCAAAAGGGATTTCGTCATACCGGGGGAGCAGGGGCCCCAGCTGTCTGAGCGGTGGTTTGGGCTGCTTTCTCCTGCTTCTGGGCAGCAGTGACCTAACTACTGCAAACCTACTTTTACTTCCACACATGGGGATGCGGAAAGCGGGCACTTCGGAGAATATTCTTATTTGAGCTATTTCTCCTCATCTGCTGCTTTATCTAAAAGGCAAAGGGAGATTCACATGGAGAGGCAGTAGGAGACTGGTCCTTCTGGCACTCAGTCAGGGGGGTTTGCAGCCCTGGAGCCCCGCTGCGCAAGGGGACCGCGCCTGCCACCGTCCCCCTCCCACGAAAGCACCATGAAATTCAGACAAGCTGCGACTTGGCTTTCAGCAGCTGCGCGCATGGGCCCGCAACTCCTGCTCAGCTCGACACCCGCTCGGGAGGCTGGTGGGACGGTGGGGGACAGAAACAAGCTCTCCCAAACGGTTAAAGAACAGTTTTGTTTTATCTCTCCCTACCTACCTTCCATTTTCCCTCCTCTTCTGGCTGAAGCATATGGGCTGCAGATTTTTCCAACATAATGTTTTATTTGCTGTTTTGGCATACTAATACATCCACGTTTCCAGCCTATTTCACTGCTAACAAATCCTTACGTGCGCAGGAATGTTTGCGTAATCAAAGAGCAACATTTTTAAGAGTCAGGATTGAGCAGTCTAAAACCACAGGAGACAAGAATCACGGCTCAAGGCCCAGAAGCTGCAAGATCGACAGAAAACGCAGAACGCCATGTTCGAGGTCCTGCCTTTTTCACACAGAGAGTCCCCGCATCGCATACTTTGCCTTTGAATTCACCCAAGACCTTGTGCTCTTGTGGGTCTGTTTGAAACAAGCCAACACCACTAGATAAAGGCCAAGCAAGCAGACCACCCCCCTGCCCCTATCCAGACAAAACCCGTGTCAGCTGTATTTCCCATGCAGGGCTATAAAAAACAGCTCATGAAGATTTCAGTGGCCCTTTCCAATTTCCAACCGTAAATGGCGTTCCCACAGTGGAGAGGAAGGGTAGCAGAAAATGAAAGCAGAGCCCACAGCTCTGCCTGAGGCCTTGCACTGACTTGCTTTCTCTTGTCAGCTTCAGATTTGAGGAGAGCATTTTGTTAAATAACAAGTATATTAAGGACAACAAAAAAATTTTCTGCAAAACCTTGAAGTTTTCCTAGGCAACGTTAGGAGCCAAGCGCTTAAGTAGGAAGTTGGTTCTGTGTCCTGGTTCCTGGAACTGAGACACGAGATACCAAATTGTGTAAAAGTTACGCTAACTCCAAGAGCTGACAACACTGAATCATGTTTCACTGCCTGCAAGTCCCCACGCCCGCTGGTCTTGTCTTCTAGCTGAGATTCCAAAGGCTTTAACGGTGGGTGGCTGATGCCCTTCAGCAGCACTTGGAGGATTAACGGTGTTTTCAAAAAACAAAAGCAAATGATACTACCCTGCCAGAGGGAAAACCAAGGTCAATCAGGCTATGCAAATCAGCTCTCTGTTGGAGAGAAAAATCAAAACAGAGGAACCTGCTACCCCCGCGGTACAGATTGAACATGAATAAACAAAACTTAATTCCTGCTTGATTTTATCACCAGAGAGGGTGAAAGAGGAAAATATATGGGTGCAAAAATACTTAGATGAATACAGCAGTGACTTTGGAAACCTCTCAGTGCTTGAGAAATAAACTTGCCGCTATAAAGCCACTATAAAGCATTTTCAGACTAAGAGTGTCCCCCATGCAGAAGACATAGCTGAGAATGTCTGAGAAGCTATCAGACATCTAAACCTCTGGCTTTTTGCTGATGGTTACGTAAGAAGTATCCTGGCTCTAAATACTGTTGCTGTTCTTTTCTTGGGTTCTTTATTGTCAGTTCTTGACACAAACCAGTAATGAAAGGAAATACACCAGTGCTGAAAATTCACCTGTAAGATCTCAGGTCAGGTAAATAGTACCTGCGTATTTCTAGGCTTTCAGTTTATTTACTTAAAGGCTAGCTTAAAACTTACTAACTGATCTGTCAAAACAAGACTAATTTTAACTAAGGAGCAATATTTACTGCAGATCTTGATGAAATCTATGTCTCACACGTTCGAAGACCCTTCTTCATTTCCCTGGGCCGAGGAGAACAAGAGCAGCAACAGGCACCACAACACGGGATCACTTTTTACCTTGGCAGGAGCCCTCAACGGCTGCACAGCTGAAGGAAACGTGTGCTGGGAGGAATGAAAACGTGAAATCCACTAAGCTACCAGAGAGAAACCACACAAGTTCTTACAGAAATGCCAAATGCCTGAAAAGCATGTCAAACAATAGCAAATTTTTACTCCATTAGTCTATTTAATGTCCTAATTTAGCTGAATGAAAATGTTTTTGACTCTAGCGCATATTGAAAGAATGGACACGATGCCACGCTCATTTTCAGTTCAAGTTTTACTCCCAATTGCACAAAGGTTGAAAAGATTATTTCAAAGTTTGAAAACCGGCATAATAATTTTGGTTTCACATATAAAACAGGGCAACCCAAAGGATATAGCAGTTGTGTCACTGTTCCAATGTTCAGCAATGAAGTGTTGCACAACCTAATTTCATCTCATACATTGATTTTTTTTTTTCTACATTATCTGCTTCTCAAATTATAACTCTGTACAACACCCACAGATACCTACGGTTAAAATATTTTGATAAAATGCCATGTTATGGAAGATTCCAATGACTTAGTACAGATTACAGTACAAAATAATGACAAGTCAGAGCATCGCTAAGAGTTTATTCAGAAGCTTTTACTTTCAGTTCTTATATCACAAAAGACATGTTTAATGTTTACAACAAATATTAGAAACTGAGATGTTTTTATTTCTACTATTATAAAAGTAACATAGGAGACTATTCTAAGCCATCTTCAAAATGCAGACCAATCTTTTTTTTGTATATAAACTGTACACAAAAAACAAGGCACTATACATTTTTGGATAATAAAGTATAAAGGTTGATTCGCATAGTTTCTCAAGAAATCCATGCTATAAATACAAACGCTTTGTTCAGTTTAGCACCTGAAGCAGCACTGGGAACAATTTATTACCTATTGCAAAGAGAAACTCTTCAGAGTGCGTAGGAGATACATACTGGTGGTATAGCTAATTCAGTACAAGCAGCCGCCATCCAGCTACTTCTCTGTAGCTTTGACATGAAAGACTTGAAAGTGAATATATATTGCATTGTTAAATACATACTTGTTCTATGTGTTTATATAAATATAAATTCTTTGTAATCAACAAACTAACAAAATAACACTTTACAAAGAGAACTTCTTCAAAAACAAAAATGGCAAGTATTGTATATAGCCAAAGGACACCTGCTGCAGTAGCTCAAGAAACTACTGGTTAAGTGCATAGGAGAGCAGAGCTTAAACATATTAAGATTCAAAACTGAATTCCGTTTCCAAAGAGTTCTCTTGGCATTTTATAATATTACACACCTCCAGATAGGTAGTCACTAATAACTTTGGATTATTTCTATTTATTTTATAAATGTGGGATACAATTCTTCTAAAGGGCATAGGAAGTGAAAACAGCCATCCCTTTAGTGCTCACTCCAATAAACACAACTTAGAAAAGTCCTTTTGCCTTCTTCAGATTAACCTGCTTCCAAGATGGCAGCGCATTGTACTCTTCTCTCGTCATCTCTAATGCAACCTGCATTTACAACAAGTGGATATGCCATTAGCAAAAACACTTCTAAGAAGCAAGAGTGTCAAATGACAGCATGGTTAGACACACATGCACAGAGTAACAGTGCACCCAGTCTCTCCTTACCTCAAAGTCTGCATCTGAAAGATAAATTTCAAGCTTCAGTGGATCAACTCCCTCCGGCAGAGGCCTAGCTAAGAGATCTGCTAGTGGATACACCGTCTTACACAGCTTGGCCAGCACGTCCTCTACAAGGATTATCTGATTAGAAACGTCAGCATCCTGTAGGGAGAAAACAGAGACCACGGGATCACAACGCTGAAACCGCCAGCTGCTCCCGCGGCAGTCTGCAGGAGGCATGGGATCAGCCTGCGGTGCCTGGCCCACGGAGCACAAAGCTGCACATCCAGGTCCGCACACAGGCGAACAGCCCTGCCCAGCTTCACAGCTACAGAAAGGGCTGCGCTAAGCAGAAGGACATCCCGTGCTCTCAGCATCTCGGTTTAAGGATGAATTCTGTGCTTAGTTACGAAGCCAGCATTTGCCACTAAGGATGGCTGCAGAAGACTTAGAAAGCAGAGAATGTCGTTTGCCTTGAGATGCCCCTTCAGTGAAGGCTTTTAAAGCAGTCTGATGTAATTCAGCTGTGACTCCGCTTCCCAGGTGGGGAAGTCAATGCTGGAGCTCTTAGAGCCAGCTGATCCTCTGCGGGGCATTTTGCTGCCCTACACTTCAAGCCTGGAGGACAGACCAGAACGGCACGTTGCTGCCTGTTTCACGTGATCAAAACAGCTGTTCTACTAAACTCTCGCACATCTCTTTCTAAGAGATGATTCAGATAACACTTTCCTCCTGTTTTTAACAAAAAGGAGAATTTAGTTATGTTGTTATTTTTTTCCTGTGGAGATTCCTGAACTGTACTTTATAAGTTCATCCTCTGGATTCTAGGGCTTGACAGCACAAATAAGCAATGTTACTGACAACACGAGATAGGAAACAGTCTATGCAATGAAAAGATTTACCATTTCTGTGATCTCTGCAATGTCTTCCCTGTGTTCCCAGCTCGGGAACATATTAGTGAAGGTCAGAGGCTCTAGGCCAGCATGAATTAGATAGGATTTGGGGGGCTTCTTTACATTTTTTCCTAAAAACAGTCAAAATACAAGAAAAAGAGAGAAATTACAAACAGTACCATATTTTGCAATGTCACCCACTATCCACAGCTACCTCGTTAGCATACTTAATTGATTCTTGCCTGAAAAGCCGAAGTAATTTAAGGCAGTAGGAATAAATTTCACCAGAATTTTTTTTAAGTGCAGTATGGCATCTGTTAACATGTTTTACAGTATTCTTAAATCTGCCTTTTACTGTATGTGACCGCAAAGATCAAACCACGTACGCTGAAAATCCTCCACAGTTACCTCCCAACCCAATGTATTTCTTATTTTACAAAAACAGAGTTAGAATAGAGTAAGCAGAGTGTGATGGTCTGAAATTAGCCAAATTCAAGTACATGAAACCTTCCGGTATGCTCAGCAGAAGCGTCCTGCCAGCAGCAAATAAAGCTTAAGCTTGGAGGCTTAAGTGGGAATGTTTCAACTGTTCTTAACTTGGGACACTGAGGTCTAACACCATCGTTTTGTTGTTATGAATTCAAAGGAATGAGATCTGCAAGTTAACAGAGGTATTGCAATAGTTGGATGGCAATTACTGATGAAGTCTTTGAAAGACAGTCCTGCTTCTTTAAAACATGTATGTGTGCACACTACATGGAACATGGACATAACCCTGCCTAGGAGCGATGCCATATCAGATCAAGTGGTTGAAGTCATTATACCAAGTACTGGTGGAAAAAAGCCTTGTTGGTTGAATGATTTCATTCCCCAAGGATTCAAAAACACTGATAAACTCTAAATACTATTTGAAAGAGGTAGACAGGCAGGCACTATCATTCAAAAAAACTATTGTATCTTCATCTTACTTGGATTCAAACAAATCTTTCTTCCAGATAGGAAATGGTAAAGCTGAAGATGTTGCCAAGTCCAGAATCAGGAGAAACTAACAGAGCAACATGATACCACCTCGCTTCAGAGGGCTGTAGCTTCCCTAAAATCTTGTTCTAGCAAAATTCTGTTACTCCCTGCATTCAATCTCAGAGCATCTTGAATGCACTAAGATTTTCCTCCAGGGCATACAAATCCATTACAGAAGACCCTGTTTTTTACTGTGGTCCCTACCTGCACTTCATGTGAGTGGGCTGTCAGGCCGGAGGGTCTAAAAGAACACACCCCCCTCCTCCTCCCCACTGCCAAGGAACACTGCTGGGAACTGACGCAACACCTCTGCTGAATGCAAACGGAGAGCCTGGCTGGACATCGTTCTTCCATTATTAGGTTTGCAAAACATGGACTTACAGGTTTGGCTTTACAACAGATGTTGGGAGCAAGCTGATTAGAGAGAATATCTTCCCATGAAATTCTGAATACTAGAGGTAAAAGCTCTATGGAGTAGTCTAACAAACATATTAGAATGTGAGTGCTTTAACTATACAATTCAGACAGGAGATTTATCATTTGAATACTTCATTTTAAGCCTTCTCTTCCACATATTTTCACTGTGGTTTATTTGTTCATTCTACCATGAATGATTCAACAAGCGCTTAAAAACTCTGCATTTAAAAATTACGTGTGAACCTGCTCTAGTTGCACTGCTCCACTCTCAGTAATTCAGCCAAGAGATAAATGGGGCGTGGTGTTTGCTAATGTTCCAGTATAAGTAAGATGATTTGGTATGTAAGTGAAGAAACATTTTCATTGTCATGAACTCTGCCCTCAGCACAAGCTGATCTCTTCACTAAGCATCACTGAAGGGCAAAACAGTCTTCCCTCTCCTAGCAGTCTGCAGCTCAGCTCTCCAGACTGCTGATTTAGCAGATAAAAACACAGAAAAACTTTCAAGATATCTTGACCAGTTAAATAAGGTTTATGCACAAGGAGAACTGCTAGGCATATTCAAGGGATATCCAGAGTTACTGATCAATAAGGGTGGGGGGGAGAGGGACACAGATGAAGAAAGAAATGGAGAGAGAAAAAATATGAAAAAAGTGTTTTAACACTTCTGATCACTCAACTGTATTCTGGTAGTCAAAATAATTGCAGCAGCATTGGTATCTCCTGAAATGCAATTTCTCCACCTTGATAAGTAACACCACATAAGAGCTAGTCAGCCCTGACAGCTTGATGCAATGAAATTTTGAAGTGATTGACAGAATCCCAGATTATGAAAGTGACAGACCACCAGAACAGCATAGTTTGAACAGTAAAAAACTGCTGAAGAAGTTCACATCAGCTTTAGCAGAGAAATAGTTCAAGTAGAATCAATACTTAACAGTAACAAACTTGCTCTGTACCTATCCAACCACACAGCCCAAAGGTCTTGAGAACTACTCCATGGCAAAGAGCATAAAGCCACAACTGCTGCAAAGTCATGGCCAGTAGTAAAGAAGTGAGCACCCAACAAAAAACCTTGTCCTATGATACATATGCTAAACTTTAGACCCATAAGGCATCACTGAAGAGCTTTCCACTGTGCATCGAACTCAGATGCAGCAAATTCAATCCAGTGCAGAATGTATTAATCTCTTTTCCCATCACCAAACTCCATGAAGTTCAAGAGATCTGGAAAACTATCCAAAATTCAGCATGTGTATCTGATTCCATCTCAGCTGGGACCAGAAAACATGATTTTCATTACCAGAAGATTACAGCACTGCCTTGGGAACACCGAGACCGGGATCTTAACTTCATCTCTCTCACTAGCCTGCTGAGTGACTCTGGGCACTTCATTCTATGGTGCTCTGTTCCTCTATGCTGACCCTCACTTCTGCTGTGAAGCACACTGTATGAAATGATTTCAAAGAAATCCATCTGATCACTCGTTCTGACTTGCTAAAACTAGTGGTGGTGGAGAACAACTGGCCTCTTTAGGAGTTCAGTATTCACATCAAAGACTCTTCCAATTACTGCCCTGTCTTTAGCACCCCATTCCTAAACAAATGCTGCTTTTCAGCAGGGCAGTGCCAGGGACACCACAGGATGAACCATGCAGAGCAATAATGCAGTCCAATAAAGGTCACGTTTCAGTGTCTCCAGTACTGGTTTTCAGCTGTCTCCTGTCAGGTGCTACCACCTCCCCTCAGTGACAGGAGACAACTGACTAGAAACACAGCACTTTCTCCTACTCCTATTCAACCTGCAGACTGGGAAGGAGAAACTGGCTTATCCTCATAAGGGTGGAATCCAACAAGGGTACCGCCTTCCCTCTTCAAATAGAGAAATGTCTATGGGAGAAGATGACAGATGCCACCAGCTGTGTCACAAGTTGTAAAGTTTATTTGCCACAGAAGAAAACAGTGGCATCATGAGGTCTGAAGGTCTATAAGCAATCAGGCTTTCCTTGCAAGAGGGCATAGTTTGCACCAATTAAGCTGTAGTGACTTATTCACAGTTGGAAACTGCTCTCAACTGACTGAACATGGCTGTTACTTATGCCCTCTTTCCTAAACAGTAACCCCACACCTCTCTATTCATCCTCCGTCAGAAGGTGCAAGGTCTGTTCCCAGCCTCACATAACCTTAGATGAAGTGAGAGGAAAGGATTATGGTGTCTCAAGAAAACTCTACTAGTGCAGAAAACAATCTGGTCAGTGCACTCTTACATGATCATCAACTGCAGTTGAAATCACCGCACACTGAGTGGCAATAGCTCTGCCTTGTAGTAATGAGCACAGAGCCTCAGCTCTGTGCTCCAGCATGTCCAATGACCACCTGTTTCTGCGTGAGACTTGTCTCGATCTTCAAAGTCTTTCCACCTCCCCCACTAAATCAAAACCCAGTTACATCAGCAAACAGTATCTTCATTCAGTCTTTTGATACACAGAAGCTTATGACATCTAAAAGGAGCTAGACAGAAAACATCCAGGTTTAAGAGGCTGTGTTCTCAGGATTCACTTTTAGGGATCTAATGTCTGAACTATTCTCCCACAGTGCGGTCACAGAAAGGGAATACAGCCTTTCCTCTGAGCATTAAGTCAGCAGAGTATCTTGGTAATCTGGGAACACCACCATTACTACACAAATGGTTTGCTAAGAAAGAGTGGAGAATGTGTCTTCAAATACACTGATGTTTATCAATGCCATTGGGGAAGCACTCGAGTACCTTTCAGCTCGGGACAGTAAGGCATGGAAAGGTATGAGACACGCTGAACAGCCAGACACAGCAATCTGTTACCTTTGCAGTACTGGAGCACTGTCTCCATGGCGCATTTCCTGTCTGTAGCCCACCTGATGCGAGCTGATCCAGCGATTTTGTTTTCCACAGGCCACCAGCCTTGCCACAGGTACACTTCATGGTGATTGTCAACAAGGAACAGTGCTACACAGCCAAAAAATAACAAATCCATCATCAGCCACTTACCAGTTCTTGGAATCCCCTAAACAGCCCCAGTCTTACATGTTTGTCAGCATCAGGACAGGGTCATTTCAGAGCTTAGCAATCCCTTTTTGTTACTCATCCAGCTGAACCTCAGCTAAACTCAGATTCTCTGATATAAACAATGTATTTCTATAGCAAGCTTTTGGGATACATGTACGTTTGATGAGTTCTCAGCATCTTTATCACAGAAAAATTGTTGTTACTGCTTAATGCTGAATAAGCATCACATGCACACATTTTCCTGTGATAAATCAAATTAAAATCACTGAACCACTGCCCATTGCAAGATACAGTTATCTGTTTTCTTGTTACTTAAGTATTTTAAAGCATATACCTGGCTGTGGGGCAGTGTAAAGATCCTCTTGCAAGAATGGCATGGAATTGATGACACCAGGGTCTCTTGAAGGGTAAACGTACTCAGTGGCTGAGAATTCTCCTGATGAACTACTGAGGCTGAACAGGCGGGGAGTGAAATTAAACTTTCCAGGATCTTTAAAGAACAAAAATTAAGGAGATTTCCAATAGAAAATGCCATAGATGAATTTAAAAAAAAAATTAAAAAAAAAAAATAAATCAACTTTTAGAGTGACTGTAAATTCTCTGTTTTTTTTAAAAATCAACAAGGATGACCAGATGTCTTGGGGGACTATCAACAGCTGTGACAAACTAGAGCTAAAAGGCTGGCTGCCATCAGTTTGAATCTGATCCTGGCTAGTTGCTATCAGCCATTTCGTAACTGGCTGTTTTGCAGCTTAAGTGAAGCAAGCCCATCTTAGAGTTTACTTTTTAGCTGACAAATTTTCCACTCGGTGAATCATTCCCCCTGCTACCTTTTTTAGCAGTTTCAAAGCAAAGACTGTACAAGAATGTGTGCAGAACTGCCTCCTAAATCCCTTCAGAAGAGAAGCAAAATGTGTTGGTAACAGCGTTAACTGTTGCTCTGTGCTGCATGAATACAGAGGGGCTGCAGAAGGGGGAAAGAACAAAATGAAACACTTTTGTTTTCCAGCACTTTCCTTCTACAACAGTATTGCTTAACTCAGTAGATTTTTAGAAGCATCTCTCTGAAGGGATCATCTCAACTACCAAGAAGTTCTTCAAAAGCTTTACATTAAATCTCGTGGTACCATAGACCAGTAAAGTAAAATGTGAGTGCCAAATTCAGGAATGCAGGTCTACCTTGCAACATGCAATCATAGGCCTTTCGATCTCTCCTTCCTAATGCGTCCCAGAATCCCAAGGGCTCTGACCCTTCGTCACATTCATGTATTGTCACCTTGCTGCTGCTGTGCAGCCCTGCCTCCAACGGACATCTACAAAACACAAAGAAAGAAAGTGGTGAACCCAGCTTTCCCGCCCCAACCACAGCTAACACAAACCTGCTGGCCACTCGCCTTACTAGAACCCAAAAGCACCCTATAGGCTTGTTGCACACTTCATGTCAACATAGGCTTTTTGAAAATGATGACAAAAATTATCAATAAACAAGATCTAGAATTTCAGCAACCATTCGCATGCCATTTCTGATCGCATACCCAGAGTGGGGGAGATGCTCGCATGAGCTCTCAGTAGGGATTCTCACTGCCTGCTTTAGTTAACTACTGCTGCCCTCCTCGCATGCCTTCCCAAATTCATTTCTTCTTCCTTATTCACAAGGCTTGATTCTAATCCTTCTATCAACTGGGATTTAGTTTGCTATTCAGATATGGAGCATCTCCCTTCAAATGGAAAGAGACTGTTTTTTTGCAACGGTAATTAGCACAGGAGAAAGAACAAGCGCATTTGACGCTAAGTGAGAGCGATTACAGAACATGTGTTTTCCCTAGTTCACTGAATCAACTACCCGTCATTCCTCCTCCTTACCAAGCATGCACATGCTGCAGTTGTGCTCAGAGGACAGCTTTATTTATTTCAACTCTTCTTTGAGGCAGACTATTTTAAGTAAATTGGTAGCCTGTATAAACATCTCCAAAACATAGGTCAGACACTTACTGTTCTTTTATTTTATTGGCTGCTGTTCTTCCTACATCCTTGGTGTGAGCTTGTGCTTTGCAGCCATGCCACAGGTAGATAAGAGCTTTATTTATATTGAGGACAATCATGGATGTCCGGGAACGCAGGCTGCTGCAGTGACATGCTACTTCAAGTAAGTTTCCTTCATTGGGAACTTCTCCTCGCACGCAATATAGCCTCCAGTCACCTGGAGCAGACAGGAACAGTGCAGCAGTGTTATACACTCACATGGGACTGACAATTCAAGACCTCTGCTGTGCAACAGCTGTTCTCATACTGGATGAATTTCACATCTCTCATGCCTATACTGTCACAGAATAAACTAGCTAAGCATCAGATTTGACTAGCACCGCTTGAGAAACCCTGTTGCAAAAAAGACACCTTCCAAAACCTTGTTAGAAGAGTACAAGTATTAAGAGCTGAAGAGCTTATGGAAAGAAAGGGAAACAAATATAGTAGTCCTTCTATTCAGCTCCTCTTCCCTATGCACCTTAAGCACAGGAGGTCACACCAAGATGCAAACTGGAACATGTCCAAGCTACTTCTGCACTGAAATTCTCCTAGCTCCACTGCAGCATTCAAGGAGTATGTGGCAAAAAGTAATGAATGGGTAGAGTTCTCCTTGCAGCAGGAGAACGGCTCATAAAAATACTCTTTTGCCCAGACTATGTAGAAAAGAACGTATTTTAAAGCAAAGGGGCACTTTGCTTAATTAAAAAACAACTAGAATGATTTATATGCTTATAAATACAATAAAGTCAGCTTGCTCTAGGGTGACAAAATCCATTCTATGCTCAAAGAAACAAACTATCTTGAAACGAAGCATTGCAAAGCTGTCTCATGGGTTTCATGGCATTAATTTCCCTTTTCTACAGAGTATGGTAGTTGAGACTGAATTCACAGCCCTTTGCAATAGGTAAAAAAGGATTTTGGGGCAGAAGCTCTTAAATAACAGTAATTTACTTTGTGCATTTTCTTCTTCCTCTTCCCTTCTTCCAGCATGCACAATCATCCCTCCTTCTTCATTAAAAAAATGAAGGAAGCAAACAGATTCAGGAAAACTAGTCTTTATGGATTATTAAAAACTATATCATTATGGCCACCCATGAAGATGGCTTTCCTTCCACAACTGCTGACTATTGTTTAAAATATCATATATATCAGCATGCAGTGGGTTTCATATGTGCTCTGCATATTCAAAGAAACCTCCAGCTGGAATCCAACAATCAAGAGTTTCAGAGGGTAAGGAATACCAAATAAACTTTAATTTAAATTAGTTTAACCATTATTTGAATTCTTCACAGGACTGTGAAGATCTTGTCTGATGTTCTTTGAAACTATATGGAGATAATGCAGGAACTGAAGCAGGTTCAAAATTTGCTGTAAAACTGTTTTATATGACAACATGCATGTTCTTTGCTCATTAAACATTGCATTTTGATTATGAAACTGATACAGCAAATTGCTAAATCAGCTATGCTGCACAGAATCCCACAGTCTGGACCAAGTGTATCTCCTCTACGAACTCTTTTGTTACTGATCATGTCTATGCTGCTGTTAAAAACTTCATTACAGCATTATGAAGGTACAGACACTAACTTAAAACCTCCCACCTTGTATGCTGGTAACAGTCAAGCCACAGCAAGGCCCAACTCTGCCTAAAGACAAAGCAAGCTAGCCTGTCCTCTGTTTGAGCTTCAAACTAGCTGAACCTGCAGTTGCTAGAACCTCTGCAAAACAAGGCAATCTACTCTGTAATTACAGAGCAAAACTGAAAATTTGAAATGTATTTCTCATGCCTTGGCCTGGAAGAATGCACTTCTGCTCTCAGCACTAGGAAGACAGCCCTGGTATGTGAACATGTACTTGAATTGAAGGCACAAATTTAACCGGGCTTCACCCATTCCTGCAGGGAGAGAAGAAAAGACATTCTTCTTCAACCATTCTCAGAAATATCATCTTTAGAAGTGGGATTTGGGAATGACAATCCATAAAGGAGCTTATGTGTCTCTGGAAGTTGGAATAAAGCCAAAAAGACAATCCACATTTACCGTTATCGGGTACTTGGGCAGGCAAGTCTTACCAGGAGTGTCACCTAGGTCTGCAGGAAGCTCACCTGTGCTCCTCTCTCTTCATCAAGTTCCACTGTCATCAGTGCCGATGTCCCTTTCTCACTCACTGTGGAGTGTCTTCCTTGCCAAAAGAAATACACGCATTTCTCTTTTCCAACAGCCCTTACTTGTTGCTCTCCTTTTTGCCTGCTTCCAACTGCAAAACAGAAAGCACATGCTGAAGAAATTACTCTGGCTATAGGTTTAAACAGCACGTGGTCTAATTTTATCTGCCAGCTCAGCCCTATCCACTCCAGAACAGCAAAGATAAAATGTCCAATTGAAGGAACAAGCCAGTATGTCCCGGTGCAAAGTTGGCATTGTCTCATCAGGTGGATCCAAGCCCACAGGCAGAGATGCCTGTGTTGGCCGAAGAAAGAGATGTAGAAAACACTGGTACTGTCTGGAGAAAAATAACTGACATCACTTGAGCCAATTTGCATGTGAAATGGTATGTCCAGTAGTGTTACCAGAAGAGTGCATTATGGCTTATTTTCCATATTGCACACTGTTCTTTGGCAGCAGGAGAGTAGCTGGCTGCTGAGTGATACTGGAAACAGCAACAGCTGAGAAAGCTATAGGCATAAAAGAAAAATCTTTCTTGGTAAAGCAGTATTAGAAAGGAAAACTATGCAACAAAATAACACCAAAGCAGTATTTTGCTGTCATAAAGACGTCAGGATTAGAAAAGCTTTATTTATTTATATTTTTAAATTAATTCAGTATTTCATGCTGGTCTGGAAAGGGAGTTAGCAGCAACTTTTTTTTTTCCCCCCCCTCTTACAAGAATCAGTATTTTGTTGTTATGATAAGGAAGTAATGTTTACAGCAAGTGAAGTTCAACAACAAAACCAGTTATGGAATATTTTACTCTTTCCAGTGAATACTGAATACACAGATATAATTGACTCAAAGATTTAAAAAAAGACCCAAGTGCTTTAAACCAGATTCTTAAAAAAATATTAAAACTTTTGCCTTGACTTCACCAGTGCTGAGCAGAATCCAACTGAAATACTGAAGAGAAAGCACCCTGTTTTTTTTCCAAGTTGAGAATACTCAAACCACTAGTCACTTCTAAAATTTATGGTTTTCACTCTTATCTGTACATTCAGCGCATAAAAGTACTGCCTCCTACATAAAAATTTATTCTGTTTTGGAGTGATGGAATATTTTTTCATCCATTTGGATTAGGAGTCTGTTTACAATTCAGTATTAGTGTTACCCACTTCTCCCAAGACTTACAAGCTTTTGTATTTTTCTTGGATTTACCAGTATCTGAACTCAACGATCCTGAATAAGACCTACTTACACTTTTTGGCTAAAAGCCTGAAGCTGTATAGCTGCTTTCAACCAATTTTAATATTTTCCTATTTGGAACAATCATTTTCAGACTATTTCTATTCTACTTACCATGGAAGCCATCTATTCTTAGTTTACTGCCAGAAAGGAGAGTTCCAATGGGCATATCGAGCTGGCTGATTCTCAACATTTACCTGCTGCTCTCAGGCTCTTTGTCAGAACACTGCTAAAGTTTTCCACATGAAACTGAAACTCATAGTAAAGGGTTTCCACAAAGGACAGCAAGGGCAATGAGTTGGCAAGGGCTTTTCCTGTCATTGTTACTGTTCTCCATTACCCAGCAAATGCCTTCCTTGTTGCTAAGCCTACCTCTCTTGCAAGACATTCAGACCATTGCCATTAGTCCAGCTGCCTATTTATTTTGGTGTTAAGCTGTGGGCACAATTCTGGCTTAATGAGCTGTTCTGTGAACACGTACAACACCATTGTTGGGTAAAAGGAGAGATGGACAGTATTATATTTGATGTATGAAAAATAACTACAGCGCTTTTTTTTAATGCTTTCTTTTAAACAAAATAAAATAATAAGCTCTACTTCTTATTGGCCTAGGAAGGCTAAATTAGCATTGCTAACCTTTAAAGCAGTTTCACACCCAAGCAAGTCTAGGTCTAGAACTCGCCACTAACAGCAGCAGTTTTAGCTGCACTTCTCCATGTTTCAGCAGGATGAGATACAATTGTTCACTAACCTGTAGTGCTCACCATGTACTTCCACTTCACCACGTATGTGTCTCCCTCGTGGAACTGCCCTATGCTTTGCTTAGGCAGTCTACTATAATCAAATTCCAGGATGTGCCAGACATCCACAGATGCGGTAATAATTTCAAACTGCCTCCCATCTTCTCCTTCTACAAGTCCATAGCCCCGGCCAATATTCATTCCATCCAAGACTGTGCCTACAGTCATTTGGGGCACTGCTACCATTAGCATGACATCATATGGTTTAGAGTCAGATCTGGATTCTTCCTGTCAAAAACACAGAAGAGATTTCTTTGAGCATAGCTTTGTTCTTCTTACCCCACAGTTCCACTCACACAGTTGGACTCCTGCATATTTCAGTACTTTGATATCCTGTCATCCTTTGACGCTTTGTCAAAGGCACCTTGGTGGTGTTCACCGAGCTGCTCGGCACTAACATAGAGCAACTCTGTGAGTTCACTGTAGGTGGTGATGTTCTGACCCCTAGGTCAAAGCCTGCAAGATAAAGAAAGTGCTCTGGATCCTTGAAAACATGCTTCCGTGGCTTCCATCCCAGGTAGGTCATCTAGTTTTAAATACCTAGCATGCCTATTATATGCACCTTCTGGTGAAGGGATTCACTAGAATTCTTCTCATTGAGTTTCTTCAGCTCTGTCCAATCAAGAAATTTTTCTTTGAACAGTATGGTCTCGTTGTGTTCTGTGAGTCTGCCAAACACAGCCCAGTCTGGGCGTCCTTGTCCCTTTCTGTACAAGGGAACAAAAGAAATAGAATTAAATTAAACACTGTGAAATAAGGGCAAGAAAACCATTTTCTGCAATGAGACTAAACTTGAGTTTTGATACCTGGGTATGAGGGGATTGCATTCCCCTGGGTCCAGAGGATTTATGTCACAATTGGAGTAGTCAAAGGTGCCATTCCACAAGTGTTTTGCCAGCTGGAATGCCACTTTTCTTTGTGCTAAAGTAACTTCCTTTCCATGCCACACATATACTTCACTGCCAAAATCAAACACCAGAACCTAAAAATCAAACCAAAACAAAAAAACAACCATTAGGTTGGGCGATACCCTGATCCTCCAGTTTCCTAGTGCTGCAAGCTGACAGTGCGTTGAACACAAACTGCTCCACTAAGCTTCTGCAGTAACAATAACAGCTAACGCTGCAATGCAAGTAAGGCCAGGGCAGTGGTCTGCACTGGGACGTCTCATTATTGAGGATCACCGGAAGCAAGTACGGGGAATGCTATCAGGTGTACCTTCAGGTGGTAGCTAGGTCACCAGCAGATTAGAGAGCTCTTATTACTAAAAATCTGATTCTGTTGCATGGCTGATTGCTGTCTAGTTACAGCTGCTTTCACTGACATTTAGACCTATGCTTCATCCTGCAGGCGGGGAAGGCTGACAGAACATACAGGATGGGTAACTGGCTCAGCAAACAAGCAGCAACTGGAATACTTATAAGAAACTACATCATGTCTTTATTTTGGAAATCTGCTCTCATTCCTACTTAGATGGGTGAAATGGTCGTTTGAAAGGGAAAAGTCTGCTAAGGATGGAAATAAAAATGCTTGCAAGGGAAAACAGGTTTTTATTTTGTTTTATTTTTCTGAAGTGCTACCTGTTTTGCACCTCATGACTTAGGAGTTAGCCACTGCTGACAAAAAGATTTACACTTCCTGAAATATATTTCACTTCCAAGATAACATGATCTAATTTCTTGAGACCCACAGCACATTCTAGTAGACAGCAAAGTGTTCAGAAGATTTTCAGAAACACAGAGGACCCAATTTTCAGTGAGCTTTCTACGAGCAGGTGCAGTTACTGAAAGTCGTTATCAGTTGTATGTTCCTGCACTTACCACAGGAGCAGTAAGTGGCACGATACCTCTTTTGGTTGTAGCAGGGTACATTTTGGCACCTTTCCCCAGTAGTCATCCTCAGGAATGAGTTTATCCTCTACGAGGCGGTAAACGCAATTTGTTTCTATTATTGCAGCTTCATACATTTCATCTTCCTCAGGACTTCCAGCAGCTTAAGGAAAAGATTGTCAAAAATAAAAACAAATATTAACATCCAACTGTCTTTACTGAAGAGAACTGACTCAATTATTTTACTGTGATAAAACATCAGATACTGTAACTCTAAGAATGCTTACACTGATAATTTGTCTGTCCACCAAGGAGTTTCCAGAAGTCTTTGGCTGCATGGGTATGGGTGTTTATTCCTTCTTCTATAGTCTGTATGTAAGAAGCTCTACAGCCAAGTTCCCTCTTTGTCTGAATTAAAGTTGCAAGTTCCGAAGCCTAAGAGATTAACAGTTATCTGAACAGGATTGCTAAGTCTTTGGAATACCTATGCACATCTTGTTCAGGGAAAAGGCAGAAGTAGGTAGGATATAATACAGCAAATATCAGGAGAAATTATTATTATTTGTTGCACTAAATAAACAGACACTAGAGAAAATGTTACAGAAATACATTCATTCTTTCACTTGCCCTAAAACAAGACTTGATCTTAATGATCACGGGAATAAAAAGGACATCCTGCAATTCAGCCTATTTTTTTGTTTGAGTGCAAATCTTTTTCCTGAGGATATCCTCTTTTCTCTTGCAGCTTCACAACCTATACACTCCTATGTCAGCTTTCATTCAGTGCACAGGCTAAAACATATTTACAGGAATCCTGCATATCTACCTGCCACTGACTATCACTTACATCCCACTTTTTGAGACAGCTGGCACAAAGGTTGAATTACATCAGACACACACATGCTGCGACAGTTCTAAACGTAAATAATAAAAAAATGAACTAGTACCAACCTTTGCTTTTTCTATGACATTTGCAAACTCTCCTACCCATAAGAAACAGAAATGTGGAGTTAATAACAGGAAACAGTCTCCACTGTTGAGTGACGAGGCCCTTGGTTCAACTAATCTTGTTTGAACATGTCTTCTTCCTAAAGAGAAAACAAAGCTAAGTATATTCCTTTGACTACTGCTATCAAATACCAAGATCTAATTTGTTTTGAATGAAATACAAACAATCCCAGCACATCTAGCAAATACATGGAAACTGTTACAGAAGAATTAAAAGACTACTACTGTGGAAAAAGGGTTTACTCACAGGGAGTGAAAAAAAAAATGTTGCCTCCTATCAACTAATATTTCTATTATTTTCTGTTCTTGCTTTAACAACTTTGTGTCGTTCTGGAAAGAAATGACTTAATTAAATGGCAGACAGCAGCCAAATTCCAGAATTCTCTACATTTGTTTAAGTGAAGCTATGGCACAGTTTCTGTATGCAGTAAAAAGTTTTAATAATTTTACTTTGCCAAAAAAAGTAGCTATTATTTTGCAGAATCAGATACATTACTACGCACTGTAAGGGGAAGTGAGGAAAGAACACTGTCATGTCACTTCCAAGTTATACCAAACACTGAAAGAATGGGACAGTTCCAAAATTTCCACAGGAGGTGGCTAGAACTCCTGAAATATTTTGTATTTTCCTTGGCAAACAAACAAACAAACACCAGTGGCCACAATGTAAACCTATTTGTAAGGTTTTACATTTGGCACAAAGTTCTCACTTAGTCTTTTAGGTTTGGGACCTTGACAGGCTGGAGAGGTGGGCCTGCATCAACCGCATGAAGTTCAACAAGGCCAAGTGCAGGGTCCTGCATGTGGGTTGGGGTAATCCCAAGGACAAGTACAGGCTGGGCGGAGAGGGGCTTGAGAGCAGCCCTGAGGAGAAGGACCTGGGGGTACTGGTGGATGAGAAGCTCAACATGAGCTGGCAATGTGCACTTGCAGCCCAGAAAGCCAACCGTATCCTGGGCTGCATCAAGAAAAGCGTGGCCAGCAGGGCAAGGGAGGGGATTCTGCCCCTTTACTCCACTCTCATAAGACCCCACCTGGAGTACTGCGTCCAGCTCTGGAGCCCTCAAGATAAGAAGGACACAGATGTGTTGGAGCGGGTCCAGAGGAGGCCACAAAGATGATCAGGGGGCTGAAGTACCTCTCCTATGAGGACAGGCTGAGGGAGTTGGGGCTGTTCAGCCTGGAGAAGAGAAGGCTGCGGGGAGACCTTACTGCGGCCCTCCAGTACCTGAAGGGGACCTGCAGGAAGGCTGTTGCTGCACCCTCATTGGAAGTGTTCAAGGCCAGGTTGGATGGAGCTCTGAGCAACCTGGTCTAGTGGAAGGTGTCCCTGCTCATGGCAAGGGGTTGGAACCAGATGATCTTTAAGGTCCCTTCCAAACCTTACCATTCTATGATTCTGTGATTCTGTGGTTTTGGACATAAATCTTGAGCTGGAGATCTAGAACAAGCTAAGCATCCAACAGTGGTAGCAACTTCCATACGTTACAATCAGGCTATTACATATGGAAAGTAAAAGCAGTTCTAGCATACCTTTAATTTGCAGCAGCATTAGCTTCTTGTATGGCACAGCACTGTTGTTAGAGTTTTGCTCCGTCAGATTAACACTCCGCAGGCTAACATTGCTGAAGTTCTCTTTGCTTGCCAAGCCAGCAAGCGCTACTTCTGAGAAATTTGAGTTTGTAGACACTTGTACATAAAAAGGAGTTGGAGCAAAAACACACAAAAAAGAACAAAGTTATAAAAAAACTGGTTGTTGCATTAAAAAAATTTATCACCCCCCCAGTTTTTTTCCTTCTCAATAGCAACCGCAAAACTAGGTTGAACTCAGATTAACTGCCAGCCCAAAAGCTCTGTGGGTTTAGTAGTACCTAAGTTTCTAGGTATCACGCATAAGTAAACTGTCAGTGTGAGAACTATGTTATTTGGCAGAAATACCAACTTTGCTAGGAAACACATCTTATCCAATGGTTTGTGAAGTACTGTGCAGATCTTCAATGCCTTATAATTGATTAATGACATAAGAGAGCAGAGTAGCCAAAACTAATGAACTGAAATTCCCTTCAGATTTGTCTCAGCCAGTGTGAAGCAACAGTCATTTACATTTCAAAGTCTTGAGTCATGTTTTACTGTAAACTTAGGCTTTAAGTTCTTGGCTACTTTTGCTTATTTCACAACTAAAGACACTATATAGACTCTCTGAATTTATAACTCCTGGAAATGCTTCTCATTGAATAGCAACAAAGTATTACACATATAATTAGTGTTTTCATCCATACAGGCAATGTTTAAAGATGATCTCCCTTTATTCAAATGTAATAAGGAAAAATTGTACACAAAATGGTAAAAGTGGCTTGACGAGCCTTTGAACAAGTTTTATAATAGTGTCTCTTGCTGTCCATCTGGTTGTCAGGACAAAGCAAAGTGACAAGTAAAACGCAAAGCTCTGCCACAGAGCACTGATCCTTTATGGAAATTAATTTTTCAGTGTCAAGAAGGCTAATTCCAGTTTCTGAGAGAAAACTAGGACCCAAAATCGAGACCAGTGTAGCTGAACAAAAGTTTACCTCTTCTTGCCAGCTCTCCCCTCAGCACAACATAGCACTAGACCTGCTCTCCTTGATCTCCTGCCCTCACTCTGCAGGTGAAGGGGCACTCTCTCTGCACAAGGTGACTGTGCTAAGAATAAATAATTAAACCTACGCACAGAAGATGGCTGTAGGTAGCTTTCCTTAAGGAAGTCACAAATACCTTTTCTCCACAGACTTCCTAGACAGTCTACATTCAGCTTGTACATCAATCAATTCAGTGCCTCTCAGAGAATATGTTCCACTCCTTCAGTTGTGGTTTTTGTGCTGGGATTATTTCTTAATTAAAGAGCAAGACAGTGTCTTGTACAAATCATCCTGTTAGCTTACTTTTTTCTACTTTCATTCGCTTTGACTCCATGAAGGCAACATTCAGTCTTTGTTCAGTATATTCATGAAGAATATCTTCTCTTGCTGCCAGCATTTTCAGGGGGTTTCTTGAGGACTGGACTTTGCGTGTAGGTCGAACTGCACGTTTGTGCTCTGCTACAGAAGATATTAACCTGAAAAACAAGCAGTGGTGATAATCATCAATTAATTTTCCTAGTCAGAACCATCCAACGACAAGAGATTTGTTTTGATTTTGGGTGTGACATTTATTAGGAAATCAGGATCAGTTCCTTGATTCAGGCAGAAGAGTGATTTCAGAAATGTGTAGAAGAAACGGACATGCCCAATACTAACCTATCTACAAAATGACTTAAAGCTGAACATTTTGACCACTGACCCTTTGTCTGCATCCATAACAATTTAAAAAAAAAACAACCCCAATAGTTCTTACTTTGGTGCACAAGGATCAAAGATGGCATCAAAGTCCTCATCAAGGTCCAAAGGCACTGAGGAGGAAGGTAAATCCACATGGCGATAAAATTTGGAAAACATTTCATCATCATCCAGTTTCATCACCTCCTTCACAGATTTTCCTGTAACTGTCAGCACTGTTTCTTGCATCCCAGCAACTGCAGGAAAAAAATACCTCACCCAATAAACACTCATACTAGAGTTTCTAACTCTAGAAAAAGTAAACATGACTTGTTTGGTAGTTCTTGTGGTGGGGTTTTTTGGGGGTAGTGGTGGTTGTTTGGGTGTTTTTTTGTTTGTTTGTTTGTGTGTTTTTTTTTTAATGGATAGAATTTGAAAGAGAGATGGTAGAATAGTCTTGGAAAATAATGATAAAAATAGAGTGTAACTGCTACTCACATGCAATAATCTTTATTACAAAATGGTTGGGAAATGTAGTTGAATAAAAAGTTAGGCACTATCAAAAATGAGTTGTTTTGGTAGGACGATATAAGCATTTTATGGTCTTGCACATTCTATCTCACCTTCAACCACAAAATTCCTTCCCTTGAAAAGATCTACTAGAACTAAAATTGGAAAAGTCACTACTTCAGACTAGTGAGTATGGCACAATCATTACCCTATTGCTAGTGCCTTCTCTGCTGAAATGTGAATATGTTGTTTATGGTATTTGACACACTACAAATTACAAAGGATTTCTGTCTTACACAGAGAGGACAGACATATGAGATGGAAACACCAGAGAACTCCAGCCAGCTTCATAGGTAGCCAGGAAGCTGTACCAGGAAGCTGTAATGAGCTGCTACAGTCAGTCAGTTTTCAAAAAAGCAGGAAGATGAATGAATTGTGCTTGGGAATGGCTTAGTGTCCTATCTTGATTTTAATAAGATTAAACTACATTTAAAGCTGTTTCACTGTACGTGGCAATATGGTTCAGACTGCCTCTGTGGTTTTAAGAAATTTTGCTCTCAAGAAGAATGTGCTCATCATATGTAAAGAATGATGAAAATAATTCTGGCATTTGCAATTTATTCTGTTGTACATTTGTAATACAATAGCATGACTTTTAAAAAAAAAATTTAGCAATGACGGAATCACAAGAGTAAATTGTGTGATCAGTAAATGCGGTTTGAACAAAGAAATATCCAGTTTCTGTTACCAGATATTTTAACCAAGAGGTACTTTAAGCAATTTACTGAAGTTGGAGAGTACATACATTGCCACCCTTGGTAACCCTACCAACCTTTGTTATTCAGCCTTCCCAAGAATGACTCCAGCTTGTCAAGCTTCATATCCGATTCCAACTGCATATCCGGCCTGGCTTCAATTTCTAAGCAAACCAGAAAGTAAAACTTGTTAATTGACTGGAAGTGAAAAGGCCTGAACATATTTCAGCCATTTTTATTCCTTACCTTCCAAGGGCTTTGTAACTGGAGTGGTAGACTTCTGCCGGTTACTGAAAGGGGATGCTACTGGTGTTAGCGCACTTGGAGAAGCCAGGCCTGCATAAGAACAGAGAACATACGAAATGCAGTCCTGGGTCAGCCCATGTTTCCAACAGTGATGACAGGCGAAGCTATTTTGGGAAAGCAGACAAGCCTGGCCGCTTCCTGCAGTACCTCATACCTCCCCAGCCTCCACAACTGCTGTATTAGCGATGGCAGAGTGTACTGCTCTGCCTGCTCCTTACATCAACAGCAGCCTCGGAAACCGTCCCATTCACAGGAACAAAGCTTTGCTTCCAAGTGCCTGTAAGCAAGCCAACACAAGATACATGCTTTGTCTTGAATACAGTTACTTTGCTTGTTTTCAAGGTAGTAGCAGTTCACTTAGTCTACATTTTGGACTCCAGTTCTACCACAAGCCACATTTTAAAAACATTCAACTGTTCTGAACAAAACTTTCCCTTTCCTTGGCAGGGAAACTGCCAAGATCTTGCTTGGCAACCTTCACCACCACCACCTCACGCCCCCTTTTTAAATTTAAACCCCTCTCTATTAATACACATAGCAAGATGTATGTGACCTGTGAACACTGTCCCTGGATTAAGCAGTAAATCTTGTGCACTGTTGCGTTTTTTAACACCACCTCGAAATGGAAGTAGAAATGGAAGTCAGAGTCCCCACCACATACCAAGCACTACTCGCTCCTTTTGCTGTACTCTCCTCCGTCCTTTTCAGTAACTATCATAAAGCAATTTACTTTGGACCCCGTGGATAAAATAAGATGATTTTTATTTAGTTCTTTTCATGTGAATCTACATTGCTTCAGTAAGAGAAATAGCACTCCATAGGTTTTGTGTTTATTAGGTAGAAAAGTATACTGAAGCAAAGAATTGCATCTATCACCTCCTGTTGCCTAGACTTTCAGTAAATAGGGAAACTGACATTTAAACCTTCATCTAATATCTGTTTTCCACTTAGCCATAACTTCCTAATTGTTGAGCCACATAAGTTTAAGCCTTTAAGCCTGATATTGTGCTGCAAGAATATATATTAACCATGTTTCCACTGTCTTTATTGCAACTCCTACCAAGTCATAATTGTCGAACACCAAGATAGATTTACAATACAACTGAGTAGCTTTTCCACAAACAATTCTTTTCCCTGTTACCTAAGAGACTCAAAATTCCAGCAGGTTTTAAGTCAACTGCTAAAGCCTTCATCAAGACGTATTTGAGAGGACACAGCTCTTAAGCTGCTTTCCCGGGACTTGACCGACAAGACCACATTGAGAACTGCTTCAGATGTTAGTAAAGGATCACCTTCCAACTAGGACTGAAAAATTTTCAGCCATAAGTAGTAATTAAAATACAGCATCTGTGCACATGTATATAACAAGGATTTAATTTTGCATTGCTTTCTCATCATCTCTTAAATTAAAAACTCATCATGATAATTTATTCTTTTAGGCAACAGAAATAGCACACATCTGAATAAAATCCTACTCAGGCTACTGTTACTGATGCCACTGTCACTGGATTACCTTGCTTCCCTAAAAGAATGATTGCAGCACCTAAAGAGATCCTTTAAAGATGTTTTTATTTTCCCATTAAGAAGAGCAAATGCTATCACCTTCTACTCCTCTCCAAAGACCAACCTATTTGGAAAAAAAAAGGCAAAAACAAAAAACATCTCAAAAAGCCAACACTTTTTCCTGGCGATCCTCCAAAATAGGTTAGTCTTTAAACACTGACCACTGGCGTTTCTAGCAGCAAACCAATGTAAGCAGCAGCTAAAATCTGTTACTAATAAATATAACTCCTAGTACCATGTATCTCTGTCTTCCAACAGAATGTGGCTTGGATTGCACATAGACTTACTCCTTGTTGCAATACTGCCCCCAACCCACAATGATTATTTTTGGTGGTTGTCATTTAACTCCAGGTTCATTGTTGTATTTAATAACCAAGTTCTTCTAACAAAACAAAATTTAGTATTCATTAACCACAAGAGACCAGTTTAGGTGCCTTCTTCCCAAAGCTATCATCTTCCCAGGTGCATTCCATGAGCAGCTATATTTCTACCATGTACGGCCTTCAGAGGCTCCTGTCCACTTCAGAAGAATGACTGCATCTAGAAACAGTGACTGAATTCACGAGAACCCAGAAGTGTCGACATTGTTCCCTTGTCATTTCTGCTCCCTGGTTCTAATGCAGAAATCTGTTCAGTGATTTCTTCAGCCAAACACAACACTTCAAGTCGTTGTCCAAAACAGTATCCATAAAAATAACACGTGTTTGCTAAATATTCCCAGTGATCCTAGGAGCAGGGGAAGTGCCAGCAATAGCAACAACTAGATTTCACAACTTTTCTTGAGACAGAGCACCTGGGTTTTCAAAGGAAAAATAAGAAAGAATAATGCAACTTTGCCCTCTGGGTTGTATTAGAAGGCAACACAAAACATATGACTGTTCTAGTGATTGACTACCACCAGTCAGACAGAGCCCAGTAATAACTGGATGGCAGTGCAACAGTGCAGAACAAAATGGACCAATACTAAAGGCCATAAGAAGCTAGAGTGACCAGTCTCATGACATGATATTCAGTTGAAGATAAACAGTCCTCCTCTTTCTAAACATGGATACTGTTTCTGCATAGCTTTAGCTTGACTTTATTTTGACTAGACAGATAAGCAGTGGCTTATTTATACCAGGATCATTTCATCACTGACCTTTTTTTACCATTCGGCCAGCTACAGTGAACTGCGTGGAATCATTGGCTGCTCCTTTACCCTTGGACTTCCAGGCTTCTTCTCGAGCTGTAATCAGGTGTTTCCTTTCTTCAATGGTCATCTGACTCTCTTGGTTATCTGCCATTCTCTGCTTTTTTTGGGGAAAAGAGAAAGAGAGGTTTAAAAAATAAACAAACTGATCAGGATATAGTGAAGGACTGGCTGAACATTTCAACTGCTAGCTGTAGAGGGACGAGAACAGGAGAGCAAGCAAGTAAAGGAAAGTCACAGATGCAGCTTAGTGACCCTGACAAGCCTTATTGTCTTGCTGCCCCATTACACTGTGAAGATAAGGTTTTGGTCTATGCTTCTTGAGCTTTTCTTGAAACTACCAGCCAAGGCAAATGGTATCCCTCTAAGCAAAGCCAACCATTTACTCTGTGTATGATATAATTTTCCAGATTTTGCTCTTTTGAAGCATGACTTGCTACACTAGTGAGATCACTAACCTGACTTTGAGCAGATGTTTTCAAGTGTGAAAATCTGCAATCTGCAGGTTACACAGGGAACAACAATGAAGAAGTGTAACTCCAGTTTGTGATTTCTGAATCTGTCTTACAGTGACTCCACTCACCAGGCAGAACTAGCAGCCTTCTTTCTCCAGAGGCTGCCTACTTTGTTACTTTAGTTCCTATGTCAGGTTGCTCTACTGAATATTTTCCCAATGACCCTTTTGGGAATGATCATGTCCCTTTTTTTTTTTTTTTCAGGTCACCCTCAGCTTTCCTTGCTTGCTTTACAGGGTAGCAGCCAACAGCTTGAGTGATTAGAAGCAGCTAGAAGCACTAAGTACCTTAGTGCTCTCCTAACACAAAGGATTGATGACAGTAGATTAAGTAGGAAAGAAACTGAATTTACATACTCTGCAGTAGCTAGGTCAGGCCAAAGAAATATTGCTTCAATGCACTTATCTTAAAAAGTAGCAACATTTCAGAGATTATACTGCATAGAAATCAAGTATAAAAATATTTTTAGCGCATGGGACTATTAAGTCTAGAATTACTTCCAAGTTGTGTGTCATTTCACATTTTTCTTCACAACCTAGCTGCTAGAATTGAAAAAACACATGAAAATCTAGAGCTTTATCACAGCTCTAGCTCATACAACCCCAAAAGGACCCAAAACCTTGTGAACATAAAGTAAACACTCTTCTCTGTTTCAAAATACAAGGAAGAGATATAAACCCAGATATTCTTATTAGTTTATTTTCTGAAACAGACTAAATAAATCAGTCACTTTATATAAAAACTCTTGTGACTGCAGAGAACTCACTGAAACAGAGTTTCAGCATTTACCAGGAACAATATCCATCAGCCAGAAGAGTAAGGATGAGCCAAGAAGTGGCTTATACAAGGAGTAGGACATGAAAGCCCTCCACTCCTTCCTCTGGTTCCATGTACCTCCGCAGCCTTCTGCAGTAATGGCTGCTCTCAATTTATTAGGAAAGATAGCTCGGCAGCCATACACCACAACTTCAAGTCATGATAATCAAGACAAAAACCTCTGATTTTTCCCTAGACCTCCAAAACATTCAACAGAAATAACAAGATGCAAGTCTATGCAACACTGCTTCCTCTTCTGTAAAAACATCTGAATGCTTCAAATAAAAGCACTGGAAGTAACCTCTGTTCACTTCCCCCAGTCCCTACCCATTCCAATGTCTGAAGCACAGGCACCTCTGAGATCAACAGCTGGCAGAAAAAACCCACAACAACATACTAAAGGACATCTTGGCAAGAAATTAATATATACCTAATGAAACCACAAGTGAAATTTCATACACAAACCAAATACTTCTAACTCAGTAAGGATGCTGACATTGATTACAATATGAGGGGAAGTGACAGAGAGGCAGGAAGACGTAGACTGATATGTATTCTTTCACATGTATTATTTATGTATTTTAAGTGACAGGGGGCTTAATTTTGAATTTTGTTTCCAGCAAATACCTGAAGCTCCAGAGTCAGCAGAGCTACTGGAAATTCTGAAGACACAGACCTGGAGTACGTATGTGTTAATCACTACACGCTTATTTTGTAAGAAAGATCAAGAGTAATTCTGGAGCCTTGTCAAAGGACAAAAGAGTAAGTAAGCTGTCTAATGGTAAAACAAACTTTTTTTTTTTTTTTCTTAGAATGAAAGATTTCAAGCTGCTCTGTCTGACAAAACATCCCTGGAGTTCCTACAAAAAAAAAAAAAATATCAGACTGGATGCACATATTACAAAACTCAGAGCAATTCCATATTAGAGCTCTTCCTAATGCATGAAGACTTCCATCTTCCTTTATTAGTAAACTTTAGTTAATAAAGAAAATAAGCTGAATAGACACCAAGCAAACCCCAACCCATTTAATTTGCTGTAACAGTCCTGGTGAAAAACAAAGTATACGTGATGCTTAAAAGAAAGAATAATTTTCTATAGCTGCAAAGCTAACATAAGCCAATGCACTTCTTGAAAGAAATTTCAGAACAGATACACGTCGTAATTAGGGGTAGTTTAGAAAGCATTCACAATTGCCAAATTACAGCATTCTCATGGAAGAATGAGTTGGTCATAGCACATTCTGGTTGGGAGAAAATATGGCAAGAAAGGTAAAACTCAGCAAGCTTTTAAGTGCAAATTTCACTTACAAGTTAAAAAAAAAAGTTATGAAAGAAGAATAAATCTCAAATTTGTAACTGACATTTTGATAAGGGAAGCTAAAGACCGCAGTAAAAAGCCAAAATAAGAATTTTATCATGAATAAATAAAAGCTTAGGAAGACAACAGCTCCAATGCTATTTTCCCATTAAACAAAAAATGCTGTTACAGTCAATGAAATATCCTAATTTGTCATGAAAAATACATCCATGTGTTTGCTGATATCTTGTTCCAGACAAATTATAAATTCCTAAAATTAAGTGAAACAGAAAAAAAGATCAGATGAATTGGCATCTAATAACATGAAATAACTAGAATTGAGATGCCCCAAACACAAGCAGTGATTTTTAGGAAAAGCCTTTGAAAATGGGGAAATGTATAGGACTGATAAAAGCTCAGACAGGGACTATATTTAGAAGAAGCAGAACTAAAGCATGTAGGTACAGGTCACACAAGCTGTGTGTTGTTCCAGACACTCATGGGAAGATTGCTGTAAGACAATCAATAAAGAATCAAAGCACAGGCGCATAATTAATGCCATTCCACATGGCATTATGGAAAACAGGTTTAATCAAAATGGTAGGTTTAATGAGATCAAGTATGATTAAATACCTTAACGCAGTTACCTCTGATTTCTTTAATACATTTGACTTAATCACAGATGACATTCTGAGGTTTTTCTGAGCAATATATCAGTGCAGCTTACAGGCTGCAAAGTAGTTAACTGACTAAAAAGAGACACACATTGATCTGATTCATCCGAACTTTAATCAAAATGTTTTCATGCAAGTGGAAAAAAGATACAGTTCTGCTGAGAAAATGCTCAGGATGACACCAACATACAGAAGAGTGATGAAGATAACGAAGAAATAGTCACATAGATGGGTAAGAAAAGATTAATCAGAAAAATCTGGTAAACCAGGCTTTTAAGAGAAATGTTATTTGAAACGGCAAAACCCAGCCAATTAGGAAGACAGTAAAAGATGAGAAAAATTCCCATGGAACTGTTGCTCCAAACAGATAATCTGTACTGCAATAGCTCATCCACTTCCAGCCTCTACACTTCTATCCAGGATGCTGACAATTTTGAAAGGTTTCAGGAAAAGGCTAAAATATTTTTGCAAGATTTAGAAAAATCTACCTCAGATTAAATCTGATAAGTATATATTTTTACTGAGAGGGTTAAGATTTAAGTTTCACCCAGCAAGAGTAATTATACATGAAAAATTACTTAATATAGCAGTGAATTTTCTGCATTTTGATAATTCAAAATAAAGACTGCTTTTTTTCTTATCTAAAATATCTGTTTTAAATCTGAGGAGGAGTTATAGACTCAATGCAAGCAGAGTTAGAAAAGGAATTACTTTTCTCCCACTGCTTGGCTAGGATGGATGATGATATTGGTCTTTGCTAGCGCTGCAACACATTTCTTGAGGGTATGCACAGGCACTCCACTGCTTCTGCAGCATCAGTTTGTGCTAAGGAAGGGCGCACATTTGGGCAATGCTCCATTTTGTACCCTACAATTTTCCAGTCTAAGCAGTGTCTCCTTTAGGTCACAAGAACACAACTGAGAGTGGTCTGTTAGCATGCTGGTTTGTTGTTTGTGGTTTGTTTTGTTTTTTTTAATGCAAGAAATACGAGAATTCATGGTTTTCTGTGTTGAAGATCGAGACTGCCCCTACCTGGGGGAATCCAAACCAAAAATGAACATTAAAAAAAATGTGTTTTTCAAGAGGGGGGTCTATTTCAAACCAATGTTATAAACCATATAAAAGAAGACGCCAAAAAGTATCTATGTGCTTTCTAATACAAGTAACTTCTCTGGTTTAGGATCATAAGACAAAAAAAAGCACAAGAAGACTCCAACAGCTGTACAAGTATGGAAAAGCTTCTGCATTGTTTTCCTCTGCAACTTTATATGGGTCTTGTTATAAAGAGAACACTCAAATGCAAATGCACAGCTTCCTGTTCAAAAGTGGTCTGAGCAAAATAGAACACTGTTGTTCACTCACTTTGGTACAAACAACAAAACGATTAATTGTGCCAGAAAAAAACCAAACCAATCTGTATGCACCATGACACTATGCTAGAAGGAAGCAGCTTTCTAAGAGGGCAGGATGTAGCTCTCCAGAGTCCACAGAAAGACGAACAGTTTTTGGGTGCTCCCCTTTTAAGATATGAACAGCCCATTGAAGGACCTCCTCTCACTACTGGAAAGATATTACGTTATTAAGTTAGACTGTATATTTACTTTCCAGATACATAAAGCTGGTGGACTCCGTCACAGAATCATTAATGTTGGAAGAGACTTCTAAGATCAAGTCCAACCGTCAACCCAGCACCACCATGCCTACTAAATCATGTCCAGAAGTGCCACATCTACACGTTTTTTGAATGCCTCCAGGGATGGTAATTCCACCACTTCCCTGGGCAGCCTGTTCCAA